TTGTTTAGTGCTTTTCGGTACATATCAGTAGTCAATGAACTTATGTTATTTTTTAAAATCTAAATTGTCAAACATACACAAATCTCAAAAGATTTTGATATCTGTTTAAGACCTTTCGAGGTTGAAGCGTAAGAAGATTGAGATTTGTTGTAATAAATATACAATCAAACATCCCGCTACTCAGTAATTTAAAAAACAGTATTTATTGACATATTGAACAAAAAATCAACTTCAGATTTGTTTATTATATTATTATTATGTAAGTCCTACTGTACGGAGCTGAAACGTGGAGAACTACTACATCCATCGTCAAGAAGATACAAGTATTTATAAACAGTTGTCTACGCAAAATACTCAACATTCAATGGCTGGATACTATCAGCAACAGACTACTGTGGGAGAGGACAAACCATCTTCCAGCTGAAGAGGAAATTAGGAAAACACGTTGGAAGTGGATAGGACATACATTACAGAAATCCACAATGTGCATTACAATGCAAGCCCTAACTTAGAATCCGGAAGGGAAGCGAAAAAGAGGAGGTCCAAAGAACACGTTACGTCGGGAAATAGAAGGAGATATGAAAAGGATGAATGTTAACTGGAAAGAACTGGAAAGGATTGTCCAGGACAGAGTTGAATGGAGAATGCTGGTGAGCGGCGTATGCTCCTCTTCCACGAGGGATAACAGGCATAAGTATGTAATACAAGAATTCCTATATTATAACTCATATAGAATGTTTACTTTATATTCATATTATTACAGTCAATCTCCTTGTTTAACATTATTTTATCGTTTAAATCTTATTTCCGTTTGTATTTTATTTAGTTTTAATATTCTGTTAAAATATTTTCATTATTATCATTGTAATAGGAGAACAATATTAGAAATCAAATGTTATACTGATTTATTGTTTAGCTTCATTTTCTAGGTAAGAATCTTCAATGTGAACGTCAAAACAGTTCTACTGTACGGAGTCAAATGTTGGAGAATTACCACAATCGTCATCAAAAAATATATAGCAATATAAGTACGGACTGGTTCCCATTCATTTTCAAATAATCATTACAGTCAATTCTCAAGTGCACTTTTTCTGAAATCAATAAAACATGCTTCATAGGGGCGAATAAGCCGAAGAATGCACCAAGACAGTTTATCCTTGGTTTTTAGTAAACTTTGTATCAGTTAAGGAGTTTTCTTTTTCAGTTTAAACCACACAGTCAAATAACAATAACCACCATTGTATAAAATTAACAAATGACATCATCGCAAGGAATATTTTCTCGTCTGAATTATTATTATTATTATTAGCATTATTTAATATTACATTTTTAGTACAATATAGAATTCTCAGCATAATGTATTTCAACAAGTTTCTTTTCGTTATTTCTTCACCTATCCTGATGATAAATACTGAGTGATCACTAGTTAGATGTTGGCAGTTTAGAAATCGATATCTGAACAATGATCATTCTATTCAATGCACATTAACATTTAGCACAATGTCTCTGAATATACGCTTTATAAGTTGCACGGCGAAAGAACGTAATCTTTTCATAAACAGTCAGGTAACTTGTTGAGATGTGTTGATGTCAGGAACAGGTAGCCCAGATAATCAAGCAAGCCGTCAAACGTTTTTTTGAAATAAAAATGGACAAAAATCGGAAAATGAAACTCAATGTACTGTATTGACAGTCTGCTTGAACATCTGTGCTATCTTTTTTTGAATAAATTGAGCATTGGGTAGATTGTTATAAATAAACTATATATTTGTAATATCCCAATGAGTAGAAAAATTAGATTTTCTGACGTTTCGTGACTCAGTGTAAGCCACTTCTTCAGAGAATAAATAAATTTATTCTCTGAAGAAGTGGCTTACACTGAGTCACGAAACGTCAGAAAATCTAATTTTTCTACTCATTGGGATATTACAAATATATAGTTTATTTATCTGTGCTATCTGTTCCTGCCATCTAGATATTTCAATAACCTATCTAATTTGGTTTGTTTTAATTTATCATTATGACCATTAATCGCATAACATATTCAGGTGCGTTTTTGAAATATTTACAACGTTTCATTGTACAAGTTACAAAGAGCCCAATCAGAGATATCGAGGTTGTTGACAATATGCATTGAAAAGAATGTAAATTATTTCGATATGGATTGAATGGACTGCTAACATCTAACTGCTGATCACTCAATATTCATCGTCAGGATAGATGAAGAAATAACGAAAAGAAACTTGTTGAAATACATTATGCTGAGAATTCTATATTATACCAAAACTATAATGTTGAATAAATTCACTAATAATAATAGTAAATCCAAACTAATTCTAATCATATCGAATTAAAAAACAAAGTTAAGACAGCGTTGATTTGATTTTTCTAGACATCAATTCTGTGATGCAGGTACATCCAGCTGACGAGTCCCGAAATGGGATGAAACGCGCGTCAAACTGTATTCCACTGCTAGCCATGAAGCAAAGAGTTTCTTTCACTTCTAACAATCATCTTCTAGATCGTTTATATCATTCTTAGTTAACAAATTCAAATTCATTTACTTTTCATTTTTCTAAATGAATTAATGACAGATTTATTAACTTTATTACCCTAACTATTATTACCATTCTTACTATATGGCTCACCTTCATGAGAAATCTTGTTTCTTTTTCGGTCATTCACCATTCTCTTGTTTGTTTGTTTTTTTTGGTTTGCTCTGTCAAAGTCTCACTCTCTCGTTCTCTTCCACATAAACACTCACACACACACACACCTTTACTGCTTATGCTACATTCATTCTTATCTCGTTAAAATATTGATTTTGTTTTATTGATCGCCCATAGAAAAATTACTCTCATCTATTCATTTATTCATATTTTTTTTTGTTTTATTCAATTGGGAGAAAGAGAACAAAAAATTTTTTTTACTACTAGGAAAAAAGAAATAAATTTCATGAAAATGCAATGGATTGTTGATATGGCGTTTTAGTAAGTGAGTAGATCATGGAAATGAATGATATGAATTGATTGTCAAGAATAGGTTCATTTAATTATTTATTAGTGGAGTTATGAAAGAATCTTTTTTTGGAAACAACTTTTGAAATGGATAACCTAATTTAAAATCAATGATGTATTGAGTATGACTTACATTTTCTGGGTTCAATACTTTGTGAGGTAGTGGTTGTACATTGTTGAAGAGTCTCGTAGTAGAACGAAATGGCTGTTAAGTGCTTCCTGGTTTCTAATAGTGTCATATCTGAGATCAATCTATGAAAAATATTAACTATAACTGGATTTTTGTCTAAATTACATTTACTAAGATTTCACAACTAACCAATACAGTGTGTATAATTAAATGCATTGAAGTAATAATTAGAATCCAGTGTATGGATGATGAAATAAACCCTCCACTGATGTCTTTGCCTACTGTTTCTTGCATCTAATCATATTCTATCCATCTGTATGTAAGCGTTGAAGAGTAAAATAATTGAGTAACAAGAAATACTTGATAGTGTTTAAACGTAGTATTTACTAACGATGATTACAGGAAGAGAAACCACTTTCTTAACTTATTATTAGCAAAGAAAATGTGGGGTAATAACATTCTAAGGAATAAAAATATTTAGGGTTTATTAACAAAGTACCCAATCAACTAATTAAAACTTACAACTAGTTGGTTAAAAGTCATTTAGAATGTTATATAAATGTGCAACAGTCTAAACTGTTACAATACACATCGGTAAAACACGAGGAAATATTATTATCATCAATGATTCAAGGGAGATAAACATGTTGAACATAGTTCTGTATGGAGAAATGAAGTCAAAAAACATAAATTAAGAGAGAAAATAAAGATCAAAGGTTTAAAAGATGGATTTTCACTCATCATATCTTCACTGTTCTACTTGACTTTAAATCGTAACACATGAAGTATTTAACTAGTGATTAAGATTATGATGCGACTTCAAACTCATAAGTTTTCATCCATCAGCAAATCATCAATCAGTTGGCAATGACTTCATACGCTTCATGTTATATTATAGTTTGACTGATTCCTAGCTTACGTTTTTCTTAACCATCTTGTATACTAAATACTACTGAACATTACATAAAACAGTGCAAGCTACCTAGTAATATATATCTACTATTAAACTAGATCAGGTTTTCCTAAGTATTTTGATTGGATTCATCAATATAAAGTAACTATTTATAAGAACAAAACTGTAAACTAATATTGTTAAGATGTAATGAAATAAAGGATCGATTGGTAGAAAAGTTGAAAACTATTGTCATTTTATATAAGAATTTTCGTCTAAATTAGAGCAAATAGTTTCACAGTATTTGAGCGCCGACTATTGTCATTCATTCAAATACTACGCTAGTTAGGAATGAATTACTATAATTTAAATTTTATAGTTCATTAGTTGTCTACTATGGAGTATTTTATTAAAAAAATATTTTTACATCTAAGAAATTTTCATTCTACTGTTCGTGAGTCAAAAGTAAATAGCTGAAAAATTTCATTTCACATTTACTTTCTGACTCTTCTAAAATACTTGAACTATCCGGATAAGGAGTCTTAAATAGCACAAAATGCATGTCCTAGATTTAAATGATCAGTTATACATTTCCTTTCTACATTGTATTCAATTTACAATATTATATGTTTCATATACACCCAAATCCGTTGTATATATAAAAAAATTGTTAAACATTTTCATTCATTGTAAAATGAAGATATTCTATTGACAAAGATTTCTCTTAACGTAATAACTTTTATCTAATTCATTCAAAGAAAATAATTATTTAATATACTACTATTTAGTTTTACTAATATAACATTTATTACACCTTGATTTTTCAGGTAATGGTTGTCATGACAATAGTTATTTCAATATTCAATATCATATAATTAAAAAAAAAGCTTATTTGTTTTTTATGTTTTCTTTATAACAGAAAACAAAAAAAAAACGACAGAAAATAAAAACTACTACTTACCTTTTAATGATTCTTTATTAATTTTTTTTTTCAGAATATTTAAAATTTAATTTGAATAATTTTTTTGAATTTTTTTTCGAAATTTAATATATTTTTTGTTTAAATGAATCAATCAATAATGAAGATATTGTAATCATAATTGTAATCAAACTTCAATATATGTAATCATGATTACGTAATTATGCATAGATACTAACGAGCATTTAAAGGAATCTATTCGATTATGTAATATCATTTATATGACTATCAATTAAAGTAATAAGTGAAATCTCTTTTTCTTAAGTATCATCATTAGTTATTGTAATATGTTGTTAGTACTATACTGAAATAGTTTTGACGGTACGTAAAAAAAATTATGTAATTCCTTTGATTGTTTATTTGTTTGTTTTATATCCGACCTCATTTAATTTATAACTAATAATGTACTGAATAAGTTTCATCTTATCCATTTTAATCTGTTCCTTTGTTATTTTTTTCCTTTTTCAATATTAAAAATGGGAAAACTCAATTTTTTTATTTATTTGGTTTCACGTTAATTAGAACTAATGTCATCTATATATATATATATGTATAGATGTATATCTGTGTACACACATTAAAACAATCATATAATGATTGTTTACATTCATTGAAATAGATGAGAATATTAGAATCTATAACTAAGCAACTAAGTAAGTAAGCAAGAGAGAAAGAAAGAAAGAATGAAAGAAGGAAATAGCGAAACAAAATAAAGGTGGTTAGTATTATAATAATTATGATTATGATCTTACAAGTTCATTTCCCATAATCCAATTAAAATTGATTTGTAAATGAATCAGAAAAAAAAAGAGAAAAAAAAATTGTTTTTTCTGTTTTTGTCTTATTCACGCATTTCTATATCTCTATTAAAAATATCTATGTTCACGTGTATTATGATTTTTCATATTCAATATATCTATGGAAGTGAATAATCTTTATAGGTAAATAAATAAGACAGTAGGAGAAATGAATGTCTTGCTCTCAAAGTAGATGTGTATACATATATATATATACATATATATGAGTCCTTATATGGATACATATATTAGGGGGAAATTATCGACCAATATACATAAACAATTCACTACTCAAATTGACCAATTATAACGGTTAAAATTCTACCCATTGTATCTTCCTTGGTATATATATATATATATGTCTGTATATATATGGATAGAATTTAAGTATTTATGATATACAATGTAATACTAATAATAATAATCATTAATTGTATGCAAATTAATTAAAGATAAATCTTAAATAAATAAACAAATATAAAATCATAGTTGAAAGTGTGAGTCAATTGAAGCTAGACCACTAGGAACATCCTGGAAGCACTGGATGCACGAAACGGCCGTCCATACCATTATAAAGTACATAAACGCTTCTCTCATTGTTGAAATACATTCTGAAAACAGTCACATAGTGTACTTATGAAATTACCATATTATGCTTTACAGTCAAATAGATTTTTCTAGTGAAATTAAATAACTAGTGATTAACATTATTTAATCGTCTGATTAGTATATTTCTTAGTCAGTTTGATGATACATTGATGATATAATTTAAACTGATATGAATTATATGCCAAAAAGTTCCCATATCGATGAGTCAAATCAACAAACATGTAAACGAATAATATCGTTGCCAATTTAATCATTATCAGCCTTTAAGATATAATAAACCACACAAGCACATAAAAGTACCAAACCATTCAAGGTAGTTTATGAGACAGTAACAGCGGTGGAATAGATTAAATAAATAAACGTTAGAAATAAAATATACATATTCATAGTTTGTTGATAGGTGTACTACTTGTGATAAGAATAATAAAGGCTTAAATCAATGTTTAATAACAGGATGTAGGTATATGACTTGGGAAAAATAAACACTGAAATAACATTCATTAAAAATTATTAAAATTATATAATAATTATACATAGTTGAAATCATGAGTCAATTGAAGCTAGATCGCCATCGAAAACCTGGAAGCACTGGACGGCCGTTTCGTCCGATTGGAAGACTCCTCGACGATCCCGCATTGCGAGGTTCGAATCCAGGACCTACCAGTTTTGCACCAGAGCTCTTAACCGATAGACCACTGAGCCGGCATCTGACGGTGTCAATGTCTAACTCTAACCAATACACGAAGTTGAGCAACACTTTCACCAATTTCTCCAGTGAGTTGATATCTCCCAACAGACCTGGTTGAACTCCATTGATGACTGCTTCTCACTCGAACTCCAGGAAATACCTCATGGAGCCAGTCATTAGTGAGCACATGATATTTGGACAGGAAAACGTATTTGTGGGGAAGATAGAAAGAAAAATAAACAAACAAAGACTATGAAAAATAGTAATGACTAAAATTAATTATTACGATTCATTCGGTCAAGAAAAGGTATGTGCTATAAATTCCTGAAAAATATAAAGTCTTGGTTTGTTAGCTTAAACATATATAGCTTCTGCTATTTGTGGGAGACGAGATCAAACCCTATAAGGAAAGGTAGCAGGTATATAATATCTAATTAAATGATTTATTTTTATCTAATGGATGATTGCTATCGATTAAGTGTGACAAAAGGAAGTAGCATATTATTTTGATTATACCCTTATATGGAAAGAAAATTTAATGGTAATCATTTGTCAATCACTAACTTAAGGTAAAACAACGTTAACAGTATCTTGTTTGATCTGATTAAAAAGTTGAAAGGAAGGCTAAATTATCCTTCGCTCTTGATTCATACATCAGTATAGACTGGGGAATCAAAGTCATCAAAATATACAAATATGTAGAAATATACGAATTGTTTTTCAAATACCTTCATGTGCGTTGGATAAGTGAACAAATAACTGAACTCTGTAGCTTGACAGTTTAATCATTTAACATAAAATTTCAAAATAAACATAATATTTTAAAGGAATTAAGATTCATGAGATTGATGATAACATAACATAGATGCACCTGATGCTTATTTATTTAAATATATCTATTAAGTTTATAGTGTAAATCTATAGTGGATTAGATCTCTTCTGGTTCGTCTATTGTTAAACCCTAAGAAAACTATGATATCAATGATGAACTTGATACCAGACATACCTATATAGTATAAATGTCATTCTGTAAACAACACATATTACTTCATCTGTTTAGTTACAGACTACCTAGTTTGGGGTTCAAGCAATTAACACTAGATCCTTGAATTTACAAGTGTATATATTTACCGACTGTTAATGAGTTTCTAAGCATTCTATGATAAGTTTGTTAACTACTGAATTTCAGGTATATAATGAAGGTAATTTACGTAGAATTCTCATTCAATTTATTAATACCAATTCGTGATTTAGTGGTATTGAGTTGTGACACTTCAAAATAATGAGATTCAAGATAATTGACTATTAACGCTTTATAACCATCAATTCATAGTCTATATAAATGAATAAATTAGAAATGATTCAGATTTATCATTAATGGATCATTATGATATCAAACAATTTTTGTTGCAAATTGTATTCGATAATAATAATCATAATTCAGTAAAATGGTGGAGAAGATTTGTAGCTCAGGTGGATGATTTTGATGGAGTTTTGTTCTCTGAGCTAGATAGTTTGGTCACGGTGCTTTCATCGTCCTTCTGAACTCTATCGAAATAATTCAGTAAATAACACTATTCTTTAGTTTTATATTAAGGTTTATTATAGTCATAATTATCAGCTTTGTTCAGTATTATATTTTGGTACAATATAGAATTCTCAGCACAAACTATTTCAGTGAATTTCAGTTTCTCATTTCTTGATCGACATTAACGATAAATCTTGAGTTGTCGCCAGTTAGATATGAGCATTTCAAAAGTCGACATCTAAATAATATTCATTCTTTTCAATGCATATTGCCAACAACCACGATGTAACTGATTGTAAATTTGTGTAACTAATACAGTGAAAGGTTGTGAACTTTTCACAAACGCACATGAATAGGTTATGTAATTAATTGACATGATCTGTTAAACCAAAGAAACAGAAAAGTTGTTGAAATATCTAAATGGCAGGAACAGGTAACCCAAATATTCAAACATACCTTTTCTTTTCAGCTGCAGAATAATAGGCTGAGTTATTTCCAATTTACTAAGATTATGTTGGTAATTGACAAATTATTTACGGTGAATTCATCGTATTCTAAATATATTTTCATCCCACCTTTATTCAGCAATGTATCGAAGGTTTTAATGAGTTCGAACATTTAAAATGTTTTAGTCTTTTGCATTAAAATACATAATTGGTATGAAATATCTTTACCTTCCAAGATTAATTATCGTGTACATTGGTTGCTGAATTATGAAGTTCATTGTTATAACCAGACTGAAGGTCCTGAATTCAAGTCCCGCGTACGTGATTGTGGATTCGCACTGCTTAGGAGTCTCATACTAGGACGAAACGGTCATCCAGAACCTTCAGGTTTTCAATGGTGTTCTAGCTTTAATAGACTCATGAATTCAACTATTATAATGATTCTAGTTACATGGAGTGACATCGGTTAAATTCATAATTAATCAACAAAAAAAAACAGCAGTAATGCAGTTGTATTCACAATTTGTACATTAAAGCACTTAGAATAAAAAAGACCCAAGTCAAATGGTAAGAGACATTCTTAATGAATTAAGCTGACAGTTTTAGAGTTCTCTCACGCAATAAAAAATTAAGCCGACAATAACACAACAAAATGCTTGCACAGTTAGTAAACTGTAAATTTAAATTACTAAAGATCATTACTTCTAATGATTAATCAATGTGAGGAACCAGTAACAAAAATAGAAACGCTTGATTTGTCATAGTTTAGAAATCTTCAGCGATACTGCTATGTCAACAGATTGCTTAACTATCATGGTACTTCGTATTGGAAACCCGAATCCAACAACGCAAGCAAGAATACGAAGGGAAATACATAAGGTTTTATCTGACCTTAGAAATAAATCAAAGTGGTCCATGAGTACACTACTTTTAACACGATTTATTTACAGTTCGATTAACATTTAGATTCACACAAACTGAACTAAATAGTATTTAGCGTCAGTTTATCAGTGACCTACTATGAGAACATATACTCACAATTTCATACAATTAAAGATCTAAATATACGATTACAAAGCCGATTACATAGATAAAATGAACTCGATTTTGAATGACACGACTAAATTTCAGAAACTCAACGACGTAAAAGACATAAATATGAAAACAGAGAAAATGTTGACTAATTCACTAAAGGAATTAAAAAATAAAGAAATAATCACTCCGAGTATACACGATTCACTTAAACCTACCGGATCGAACACACCACGACTATATGGTCTACCCAAAGTTCACAAGGTAGGTCTTCCGCTTCGTCCAGTTTTAGACATGTATAATTCACCCTACCATAAAACTGCAAAGTGGCTAGTTCAAATCCTGGAACCCTTACACAAACTAGTCGTCAACAAAAGCGTGAAAGACGTTTTTGATTTCATTTCGAAGGTTGAACATATGAACTTCAGTGGTAAACGGATGATATCTTTAGATGTTGCTTCCCTGTTCACCAACGTTCCATTAACTGAGACTATTGATTTTGTGTGTCAACAATTGCATGAAAAACAAATCAATGTCGGAATTCCTGAGGTCAGTCTTAAAGCGTTACTTTTGAAATGTACAACGAATGTTCATTTTGTCTTTAATAATACATATTATAGACAAATTGATGGTATAGCGATGGGTTCACCTCTAGGTCCTATCCTAGCGGACTTTTTTCTTGCGAAACTAGAGAATGGACCCTCAAAGATGTTATCAACAAGCTTGACTTCTATTGTCGGTACGTTGATGACACTTTTATTATTGTGGATCAGGACATTGGCAAAGTCGAACTACTCGAACAGCTTAACAATAAACACCAAGCTATTAAATTCACATGTGAAGAAGAAATAGATAATAAATTAAATTTCCTTGACGT